TAAATTTCTTACCATCCTTACAACAAATTAAGCATTGACATTATTGAATTTATAAACTTTTGAATTCTTCATTCTCTCAAGTTTATGTGTGTTGTTAGTTAATCAATTCACCTTACTTGTGTGTGGCCCTCAAATATATCTGTGAAAACGATATATGTCTAAACATGTGGGGTACACAGTACTATTAGAATATTATTTGGGTTCGAACGTTAAATGTACTCAAATCTACTTTTGTCGTTCGTATGGATTATTTGTATTAATTTAGTACGGTCGAATCTTGTCCAACATGTTCCCTATCCTCAAATGTATAGCGATAAGATTGGACTAGATGTTAATGTCGTCAAAATTTTAATTTTATTTTACCGTTGTCAGAGTTGTATTGTATATTTTGGTAAGGGGTTTAGGGAACCTTGTTACCTGCATTCCATCAGCTGGATTAGCTGAGACACTGCAAGCCTCACGTGAGGGCTGGTCCGGTTTTACTGACATTCTTCTGTAAACTTTGTTGAGTTTGTTGGAATGGAGACAAAACTGTATTCTCATACACGGCAAAAAGTCTTGTTTTTCATTGGAACGCTCAAAAAATTTCTCCTCTGATGTTTTGAATATGTGTATATAGCCATTCAACTTAAGTGAAAAAAAAAATGTTTTAACACATTAGATGACATGATAATGATGTAAGCTAAAATAAATGTAATCAATTTTCATTGCTACACATCACACGTCTCCTTCAACCTGATCTTCCTTAGACTTCTTACATTTATAGATGTAATTTAGCATCCTCAAGTTTATATACTTTTTATATTATCCTCCAGTCATGTGTTATATAATTCCATGTAGCTTTAGCTTCTGATTCTATTCATTTACATGGCAAAATGTCCCACATCACTTGATATTGCCTTAGATCATGTGTTAGATTCATATATATATTCAATATATATGCCGTGGCTTATCTAGTCGAACATATATGTCTGTTATTTGATATTTTTACGGCTTATCATATCACTCCCATTATGGATGTATCGAATCTTGATCATATCAGATATTCCGATCTTTGATGCCCTAAATTTCCATTTCTATCATATACTGGAAGTTGTCATGAATGGAATATAAGGCTAATTTGGTCTTCAACAATTTTTCATCCCAAAAAATTTAATTTTTTTCTAATATTCACAACTGCATGTTTCTTCACAACATCTGTAACTTGTTCAATGTTCACCTCCTAGTTCCTAGAAGGTTACCTGCACTCTGGAAGTGCACTCCTAAAGTCGATGGAACTAACTTCATTCATAACATGGGGGTATGTTGTAACTTTTCAGTTATCTAGTCCTACGCCCTTCTATATCTAATATATTGTGTATTTGGACAAAAGAACATTCGGGTAACCTCAACACCGTAGTGCTCAAGCGGTAGCACGAGGTTCCTTGGATTTTAGCTCCATCTAGAAAAGGAAGGGATTATCATTCATAATTCTTATTAGGGCCATGTTACCATCAACCTCTTGTTGAATTTTGAAGCTATCCGTCCTTTATCGAGCTCCAACTCTATGATTATCATTTCAACAAGGTAACCAACTGGCACGAGAAGTCCCAATGTATCCCCACTCCAAATTATCAATATATTGATTGCTTCTATTATAAATTATGAACAGAAACAAAATTGAAAAAGAAACTGAAATTGGAAACCTGCTCTTGCAGCAGGGAAGAAGAATTAATCCATTCAACTTGGAGAAATTACAATGCATATATACTAGTTTATTTATAGAAAAAAATAGCTAATTAATCACTACATGGAAGTCTCTAGAATTGAAGAGCTAGACTAAATTCTAACAAACTAACAACTAATAACAAACTAACTGAAGAAGGATCTGGAATGAGCTGCTGAATTGAAAGTCGGAAGAGTCTGTTGCTGGACGTGTGATTTGAGCTTGGATTTGAAATATTCTAACACTCCCCCCTCAAGATGGAACATCTTGAATATTGAAGTGTGGGATATGAAACCTCCAAATAACATGTCTGGATATTCTTCATAATATTATCCATTTGATATTCAAAAGACACGCTTGTTTTGCTTTCCAAATCAACTTGTGAAACTGACATAGATGTGCCAAAGGTGCTTCCCTGCATCTTACTGGGTAGTTCACCAGTAATTACTAAACATTTTCAGTGTTTTTCTGGTTTTACGAATTCGCCATAGATCCGTCAGAGAAGATGCCAGAATAATGACGTAATGACGTGAGAAGAGATTGTGAGATGGAAAGCCATTGGCATCTGAAGCCAATTCTAGAACAAGGCTGGATCTTAGACAGAAGCTTCATTCGAGCCGTGAATTAACATCCATATAAGGAGAACAAAGATATAGAAAATGGAATTAGAATAAATTCCATGAAAAACACCATAAAATGAGGACAAAGACAATGGAAATCTGAATAACTTTCATGAAATCATTCAACAATGGCGGAATTGCTCGTTGATGGAGATGACTGAGGACATCCTCTGCTCTTGCTGCAAATGCAGGAATCAAAACAGGAGGCTCGAAAATTAAAGAAGAAAAGGAGCAGCTCAGAATAAATCCTCCAACCTCAGGCTGTCGAGAATTATGCAGCATATCTTCATTCTGTGTAGAGAATGAGGCGGATAGTTGACTGATAGGTTTAGACTCCATATGGAGATTAGATCGAGCAACATATTAGATTAAATCTGTGATGAAGAAAGAAGATAGAAGGTGCAGACGGCAGAAGCACTTTTATTACTCTGATACCATATTATAAATTGTGAACAGAAACGAAATTGAAAAAGAAACTGAAATTGGAAACCTGCTATTGCAGCAGGGAAGAAGAATTAATCCATTCAACTTGGAGATATTACAATGCATACTAGTTTATTTGTAGAGAAAAATAGTTAACTAATCTATCAACTAATCACTACATAGAAGTCTCTAGAATTGAAGAGCTAGACTAAATTCTAACAAACTAACTAAAGAAGGATCTGGAATGAGCTGCTGAATTGGAAGCTAGAAGAGTCTGTTGCTGGACGTGTGATCTGAGCTTGGATTTGGAATATTCCAACAGCTTCCATTGCTACAAGTGACATAATTAAATATTTATTGTTACATATGTAAAATACAATAGCACATAATATGCAATAATATTTTGAAGAAGGAAGTTCGAAGTCTACGTACTCAAGAATGCATCAAAATTTCTACATTTACCTTCAAAAAAATTTTATTACACAAGATACCAATTTTTTTTTTTTTTTACCAGAGAAAACAGTTGAAAAAGTACTAATTGAGCCCCCAACAACATATTCCAAAATAGGCAAGAAGAAGGAAAGACTGGTATAGTTATCATAACAACTGTCATCTGACAAATTTCAAATCAAAGTGATGCTTAATTTCAAATTCTAATTTACAACACAGGAGTTGATAATTGCAGTTATATACAGAAATTTCACAGAATTCAGTTTTTGATGCATATCAATCAGTATTATGAATGAATAATGATACATATTTAGGGACTTCTCACCGATAAATGAAAGCTCAAGTCTCAGATAGAGTAGATGTACCTTTACACACAGCAACAGAGGAGACAATGTAGTTCGATTATTTCGCAGATAAATAATCCCACTCGACATATGCCTTTATGTGTTGTAGCTTCCAATTTCCATGGATTTTCAAATCAGGGTACGTTAATTTATGTAGTATTTCTTGAACTATTTTCATTTTTTTGGTTATTTGTGAATTTTTTCCCAAAAACATATACCTTTAGTAAAAAAATATATATATAATTTAGAAGTTGAAAATATGAGTGCCACAAATGTAAGACTGGAATATAGCTGCCACCACATACCAAAAGTTAGGGTCCCCTAGAGGAATTTACCCTAAAAATGATACATGGTGGAAAATAATAGTTGTTAATGATTGGACCTTTACTCCGACAGCATCTAGGGTTCCTCGAACAATGTGATATCTTACATTGGGTGACCTTGCAAGAGAAAAATGATAGCAATATTTAAGATTCTTCTACAACGCGATAACAAAAATCCGAATTTTCATAATTTTTAGGTAAAGCAATGCAAATTAGCATCAGTCATATGATAAATTAGTGTAAATTTTGGAAAAAATCTAAGTGGAAAAAATCTTTAGTAGGGCTTTGACCAGGAAAAGTTTTTACGGACATGTACTTTTTATAGTATATTTTTTACGGATTTGTACCATTTATTGTTAATGCAACGATGAAATTCGCCAAACCCTCGTGCAAATTACTAGTGATTTCGGCCGTCATGAATTTAGTTGATCATTTTGTTCGATTGAATTTGAAATCAACACATATTTGTTAAAGCGAAATGAAAGTATTAAATAAAATAATTAAAAATCTTATTAATTGTATTCTTTAATTCTATTTAATACTCCATAACAAATACATCAATAAATGGTTAATGAATTGACTAAATTTCGTTTTCCCTACCTAATGAGTTAACAAAATTAGAATAACCATCAAAATCATCAGATCATAGTAATGGGATCTTACATAAATGCAAGAATCACTTCACATTAACATTTATGTCCTTATCCAAATTGGTCTAGGCAAGGCTGTCAAGGACAACAAATTACAATGAGATCTATAATTTATTGTTGTTTATGAAAGTGTATCTTATAGATTTATCAAATAGTTGTACTCGTAAATGTCACATATAAATATTATTATTGAAATTATATACATGCAAATATTATCATGAGTGTAAGTCATTTATGGTGAGTGATAATAAGTCAAATTAGAGGTCATTGCCAGTCAGTATTAGGCAGGCCCTCCTTCTGAGTACTGGCAGATGGAGGATGAGTAAATCGTGTGGATTCTGTGGAAAAAGTTCTAAAGCTCCCTGTCCCGTAAACCTTTTTTCCAACCTTTTTCTCTTCAATCCCGACTGCATTGCTTTACTTTCACCTTTTCTCACCAGATTATAGCATATAAATCCATGCAGCCACAAAATGATAGCATCACAATGGAATCTTTACTAGAGAATTCTAATGAGAAATCTGATATCCAAGAGAATGAAAACTTGAGAAGACAGTCGGAAGTTTGTATCAGAGGCCGTTGGAGACCTTCGGAGGACGAAAAACTTAAACAACTTGTTGCCCATTACGGCCCACAGAACTGGAACGACATAGCTGAGAAGCTTGAAGGAAGAACAGGTAGTTTTTTTTTTTTTAATTAAGTTCGTTTATCGATCTTTAGGGTTTGATGCTTTTTTCTGGGATTTGAAGGTAAGAGCTGTAGATTGAGATGGTACAACCAGTTGGACCCGATGGTCAATAAAAGAGCTTTCAGCAAAGAAGAAGATGAAAGGCTGATGGCAGTCCATAGGGTTATTGGCAACAAATGGGCTATGATTGCTAAGTATTTCCCCGGGAGAACTGACAATGCAGTGAAAAATCACTGGCATGTTTTAATGGCTAGGAAATCCAGAGAGCAATCAACATTCTACAGAAAACAATCAAACCGTTCTACCAATTTCTTCCTTCCTTGTTCCGGACGTGATTCCTATCCGACACAACCAGATTCTTTTTCGGGTTAGTCAGTATATTTAGCATACGATCTAACACTACATACGAAGCAAGATTACAGTAATTATCTATCTTGTTTATTTACAGGCAGTAAAAATGGGAATTTTGTGGAAAGAAATGGCTCAATTTTCACTAATTTCAATCGCTCTCATCCGTACCCTTCTTCATTGCTGATGAAAATGCAGAATGATTTTCGCCAAATTTCGTGCACAGAACCATCTCCACCATCGCTATCAGTTGCTGAGAACACAGATACAAGCCATTTAAGTACTACGACAACACCTCCAATTATAGATTTCCTTGGAGTTGGAGCCATATGAAAGATACGCATTTCAATTGTTCTTAGTCGATCAATTCACCGTATTTGTGTGGCCCTCAAATATATACGTGAAAACGATATATATCTATACAAGTTGGGTACACAGTACTATGATAAATGTTAGTCCAGAATTTTACTTGCTTTCAACCACCGTTTAATGTACTCGAGTTTATCGGTCGTGGGTTATTTTATTAATTTAGTACGGCTGAATCTTGTCCAACATGTTCCCTGTCCTCAAACATATAGCGATTTGAATTTCTTTCTCTCGTTATTAGAAGAGTTGTATTGTATATTTTGGTAAGAGGTTTAGGGGCTTTGTTACCTGCATTCCATCGGTTGGATTAGCTGAGACATTGCAAAACTCACGCAACGGTTGTTCCGGATTTACTGACATTCTTTGCTAAACTTTGTTGAATTTGTTGGAATGGAGACAAAACTGCATTCTCATACACCTACATGAATTTCATGAACTTCCTTTTCTCTAGTAAAAAATCTGGTTTTCATTGGAACTCTCCAAAATTTCCCCTGTGATGTTTTGAATATTGTCTTAAAAAAAATGTTTTTTAAAAGTGATTATAATTTAATTATTTCTATTTTAGTTGTAGGGTTCCATCGTGTTATCACTTAAATTTTAACTTAAATCACTTAACAAATATGTATTAACCTTCAAACATAATTTTTATTATCACATTCTGTAAGATTCTCAATTCACGGTTTAGAACCAACTAAATTTTGATTTAACCTAATTTGCCAATCTTCAAAATTTTCCCTTCTGAATTAGTAGAAACGCTAATAGGACTCAAGTTCTGTTAGTATATTGTTACATGATCCGGCTAGGTTTGATATTCCGATCCCTCCCCCTTCATTGCCTTGTCCATCTGGAAATCGGGATTGGGTCAGAAAACATTGTCACTACATCCGAATCTTAATTTATATTCTTAAAATTTAAATCATATTTAGAAAATACTATATTCGGTCCGAACCCATTGCTAGAAAATCTTGAGTGGGAGACAGGGAGGGCCGACCCCATCCACTCAAAGTTTTAAGGAACGAATAAATTGAAACAATTCAAATTGAGGAAATTACACCTAGTCCTAGTTTTTTTCAAAAATCAGGCTTTAACTTTATTCTTTCAAAAATTAGGTATATTGTACTCCACCCCATATCAAATAGAGAGATGCTACAGCAATATCAAGTTTCACGGCCCTCACACATGCAAGGGGTGGGGCCCGTGATTAAAATAATTGCGGGCCCCCCTTGTGAGAGGGCTGTGAAAAATGGCGTGAAACAAATGCTGTATAATCAGCATTTTTGTATCAAATAACCTCAAACCTATCCTTTAATTTATTTTCCCAAGTCACAGTTCACTCTCCACTATCACCACTACACCATTGTCACCCGCCGCCACTACTCCACCCACTGCAACCCAATCAATGGTTTCGATGTTCAAAATACACCCATCCATCACCGCTACCCACCTGGCCATCTCCATCATCACAATCTATAAAGGAACCATTGACATTCGATATGTGGAGGAAGCGGAGAAATCATAAGTTGAAACAAGAATGTGTGGGTGCGACGTAGAAGGATGGCTATGTCGACCACTCCAATTGTCACAAATGTGATCACCTGATTTTTTTGAAACTTTTTCACACGTCTCTTTTAAGTGGATATTGAAACCAATGTATTTTTCCCAATTTAAGCCATTTTTTGACAACCATTATTTTAAAACTCTCTTTTCCACATATTCATTTTTAACCACATATTCATACCATAAAATATTCTGTAGGTAAAATCAAAAAATTTTCTTACTTTTTAATCACACATCCTCCAAAAAATCATTATTCAAAACTTCATTTTACTCAAATAGTGATTGTCAAATATGGCTTCCACATTCCATAGATTAATTCATTTCCAATTTTTGGCGCCGAGTACATATATATTTAAACGTAACGATGGGAAATCCCTTAGAAACACTAGCATTCTGCAAATGGCCAGCCAAAAACAGCGGCCATTATTTGCTATATTAAACCTTAATGAAATAAGAAAGTTCTTGAAAGTATCAGCCGAATCTGAAAACCTCACACTCGGAAAAACTATTCATGCCTATTTAATTGTACAATCCTGCCATGCTACCAGCTCCCTGACAGACCCCTCACAATAGAGGGGTAGGAATTTTTGGCCTTTTTTTATTCACATGGATCACACTCACATGTAAATATTTGTCAATGAGAATGGCATTTTCTTTCCAACAAAGAAGTTTAACTGTTAATAGTATCCAATCGAGTGTCACGTGATCACGTTATCGAGAAAATTTGTTTGATTAATTTTTATTCCTAACCTAGGAGGGCAACATTGCGAATATGGGACGGGTCGATTATTCTCACCCCGCCCCATTCAGTATTTTTGTCATCTTCCTCCGTCTCTATGCTCGGTTAAAACGGGATGGGGCAAGGATGTCTCATGCCCCATTTATTGTACCGTTTATTTTTATTTATTTTAATTTTTTCTTTTGTTTTTTTATGTCTTTAATTAATAAATTTTTTTTTTCAATTTATTAATAACAACGATAATTTTGTTTTTTTGATAAAAAAACCTTAAATATGAAATTAACTTTAAATTGGGCAGGGTAGCGGGGTGAGAACTATGTTACTCGTCTCATACTAGCTTCTGGGCAATGACTCCCATCCCGCCCCATTTACTCATTTAGGCGGATAATCCCGTCCCATTTAGAACGGGGCCCACGGGTATTGGATTGAGCAGGTTTTTTTGCCATCCATAATGTAGAGAAATATCTAGTGCCCGCCAATTGTTTGATAGAACGAGCAAACGAAATGTTGTTTCGTAGGGAAGTTTAATGGCTGGGTATTTGCATCGCGGGTTGGCCTATGACGTTGTTGGGTTGTGCAGGAATATGGTAAAAGTGGCAAGTTGTGCTTGAATAAGTACATATTATCGACGCTTATTATGTGTGGTTCTCATTGTATGTTGCTAGATGAGGACCAATAGTGTCGTGGGTATGCATTGAAGTCTGGATTGATTTATCATGTAAAAAATGACTCGTATCCATGTATTCAATGTGGTCGGATGTGAAAGGGGCTATCCAGGTTTTGTATTGGGCCCCTAGATCAGATTTATGTACTTATAATTCTGTTTTAAGTGTGCTGTTAGATCATGGATATTTGAGGGAAGCATTTGATGTTTTACGAAGGTTGGTGGCAGGAGATGAGTCTTTGGAATGGGATAGTATTACTTATGTTCATATTTTTTGGATTTTGTGCTCATCTTGGTGATTTGACTTGGGGCCAACAAACTCACAGCACAATGCTCAAAGTTGGCGTTGAGCTTGATTTGTTTGTTGGTAGCTCAGTCATAGACATGGACGGAAAATGTGGTGAAATTTCATCCATGAGAGAAGTTTTTGAAGGGGTGGAATCTAAAAATGTAGTCACATGGACAGCAATATTGGCTGCTTATTTACAGAATGAGTGCTTTGAAAAAGTATTGAAACTATTTCTAGAACTGAAACTCGAAGTATATTAGGCCAAATGAGTACACATTTGCCGTGCTTTTGAACTCGTGCACGGGTTTGTCAGCACTTAGATATGGTAATTAGTTACATGCATGCATCATGAAGAAGGGGATGAATAACCGCACTATTGTAAGTAATTCTTTGATCCATGTGTATTCAAGGAGTGGCCGATTGAAGATGCTATTATCGTCTTCACTTATATTAATTATCGAGATGTTATATCTTGGAATTCTACGATAACTAGTTATTCGCATCACAGGCTTGGTAGACTGTGTTTCAAGAGATGCTAGCAGCAAAATAACAACCAAACTATTTAAGTTTTGTTAGGGCACTCTCTGCTTGTGGCTTCTTGGGAAAAGTAGACAAAGGATTCTACTATTTTAACCATACGATGAGAGAGTTTGGCATTGAACCGGGGTTGGAGCATTACACCTGTATTGTTGGACTTCTGAGTAGAGCAGGGAGGCTTGAGGATGCTGAGAATTTCATGCAATCAATCCCGATAAAATGGGATATTGTAACCTGGAGAACTTTGCTTAATGCTTGTTATGTCCATCAGAATTATCGTTTAGGAAAGCGAGTTGCAGAAATTGTGTTGCGTCTAACCCTGAAGACGTGGGAACGTGTATCCTTTTATCAAATATGCATGCCAGGACAAAGAGGTGGGATGAAGTAGTGGCGATGCGGAAGGTAATGAAAGAGAGGAATGTTGACCCCAAAAAATTTATCAATGATGTGGCCAATAGATCCCAAATCCCCTCACGTCCATGTAAGCTAAATCCCAACACACTTGGATAAACCGTTGGTTTATTGCACGCACTTTAATGGTTGACTCAGCTAAAGGAATAATTTGGAGTGTGGGGGAGCTTAGAACGTGAGTCTCCAATCAACGAGAGGGGGGTCGGTCTGGGAGTAGAAAACAAAATGCGTATGTAGCAAAAATAAAGCTTTAAGAGTCTAAATTTGCCTCTTTTAGGAAATGACACTAACTGTCGCTTTTATAGTAGAAGATGATGATGATGATTAAGAGTAATTAGATGAGGGAGCACGTGGCCTCATCCGCACAGTTGGGATCTCTTGTCATAGTCATCAATCAATCATTCATAGAATCATAGGTCATTTTGTATTTAATGTTGTGACGGTTTGACAACTCTAATCCTGACATGTAAGACTAAACTTGACATGTTTGATGAGTAGAACTACATATTTATTAAGTTGTCACATCACCTACTTGATACAAGATCTAGTATGAATATCTTCTCTAATACACCTCTACCTATCTCATGTCATCCATTGGGGCTCAGCTCTTCATGGGGATTCAGCCAATAGAGGTTCGGCCAAATTGTCATATGGTTAGAATGATGTGGTAAAAGGGTCGTCCAGATTGCCATGTAGGATGTGGGGTCCTCACCGTCTACCACGTAGTTCAATTAGGTATGATTATTTATATGAGTAACAAGGAACATAAAGAACGAACCTGGATTGAGCTGGACAGAAATAAGAAATGACGCCTGTGTATTTGTTTCTGATGACAACGAACATCCCGAGGCTGGTCTTATTCATGAAAAGGTGGAGTTACTGGCTAAAATTAAACCACTGGATTACATTCTAGCTATAGCTTGTGAATTGCATGATGTGGAGGAGGAACAGAAAAAAGATTACCTCAGTTATCACAGTGAGAAATTGGCCATAGCATATGCTCTTATGAAAACACCCCCAGAGGCACCTATTCGCATCATTAACAACCTAAGAATGTGTGATGATTGTCACTCTGCCGTTAAATTTGTCTCAAAGGTCACTAACAGAATGATGATTGTAAGAGATGTGAACCATTTTCATAGTTTCAGGGATGGATGCTGTTCCTTTGCAGACTACTGGTGACATATAGGGTCAGATTGGGGAAAAATATTCAATGATATATCATGGAGGCCACTTAAACCAGCCAGCTCGCAATGGAGGGCATTGCTTATAGCTCAGTCAAGGTAATTTATACTGCTAGGCCCTTGTAAATTGGTCACTAGGGGTTTTCCATCTATGATCAATTCATGACCCTGACATGATATCCCTACATATCCCCTTTCTCACTTATGCAAGATTCGAGTTTTTTTATTAAGATAATGAAGTGAAATCTTCTCTTATATTTTGACTTGATTTCCCATGTCTACATCATCATCTCAAATTCCAGCATAGCTCTGCCACAGTTGTGTCGAGTTGGTATGCAGTTGTTATGGAGACCTGATAATCTGAAATGGAAGGTAGGCAAACAATATCTTGTGGTTTTCCTAGATTCTAGGATTTCTTTCATTATATGTACATTGCAGAAGAGAAAGTTTCCCAGTTTTCTGTGCTTGCAAATTATATTAGACGTAGAAGCGATGATTGTCCAGCTAAGGTACTATTGGTGATTACTTTTGGATAGAGGGAACAGAGATAAAAGGTTCCTTGAAAAATTAAGATGTTTTGAAGTCACAAATTTCGTTTACTTGGTCATAATTATGATCTCAGTCTCTTGGACTGGGTGTGCCATGTGATTTGGGAGTTCTTAACGTGTGCTGAAAGAAACATGAATTTAACATTCAATTCACTAATAGTTTTTACCGGAGAAACATCTTTCATTTGGTTTTCTTTTGGCTAATTCTTATGAGTCTTCCTCACCTGTTAAATTGCAAATTCTACGAAGTGTATATTAGTTCAATGATTTGCAAAACTGGAGCTGACTGAAATCCAATGAAATAACTGCATTAAGTTACATGTTGTCAAACCTAAATAGAATTATTGAACTCATATAATTTATTGAATCAGATATTTGGAGACTAGGTTTCCATCAATTTTTGCTTTCACTGTTACTTGAAAGAGGAACTTCCAGGCTTTTTTTTTTCAAAATGATGTTGAACTATGGATGGAGGTAACTGACTAGTTGGAACTTAACACCACCTCTCATTGGCTGGTGGCTTTATGGAAAGGCATTAAGATTCCAAGGTATGGCACATTACAAAAGACCTCTCAGTTCTCTATCTATACACCATTCGCTGCTTAATTTTCTCCGATCACTTGGTAGAATCGAAATCAAAGATCAATAGATTTAAATATTATACGAAATAGTAGCTTTAGTGGAAGAACATAACTTGTCGTGGAAAGAATGTGTGGAATTTGAAAAATGAGAAGAGGAGAAGAAATGTTGAAATTTGAAGTCTGTTATAAGTTTCAAGTAAATATAAAACAATAATTCATTAAAAGCTACCCTCCACTAATTTTACAAATTCATTAAAATCTATTCTCCCATCTCTATTTTCATCAAACGCCCTGATCATTCTCCTGCAGTTCTCTATCTCTGATCCTTCCTTTAAGCGCAGAGAACATAGAACAATTTGTAACTCTCTTGCATCAATAAATCCATCTTTGTTCTGGTCAAAAACGTCGAAAGCTATTTTCGCTTCGTCCAAAGAAGGATTTTTCTCTTCAAACATATTGAAAAGATCGTTAGCATCCAGTTTTTCGGGAAGCTTTCCTTCTTCAGGACTGCAAAATAATCCCACACTTCTTAGAACCATCTCTATATCTCCTTTACACACGCTTCCACCAACCATCTTCTCTGTGAAGGCCGGTTTCTTCTTGGATAACTCAAAATCTCCATTCCTTCCAGCCTGAACTTTGGAATCATTGAACCTAGTTAATTGGATTGGAAACTCATGTTCTGATAAAAAACTGCAGATTTTCTTCCTATCGAGGATTATGTGGAGCACGACTAAATCGACCAATCCAAGAATCAGAAAAATAAGCTGAATTGTATTCATCGATATATTCTCTAGGGGAAATTGATCCAGATAAGTGAGAGACATGGTTAATGATTTTCCCTCGATGAAAAAGAATCAGAATGTTTAAAAATATATCTTACATGCAGATGGAGATTAGATTACTGGAATTGATATGATGAAATTGAAGATGAGAAGGGTTTATATACGTGGATAATATATCATGATGGAAACTGGAAATTCTCTGGAAATTGATGGCTTTCAAATTGTTACTCCAAGGAAGTTTCTTTGTTTCTTGGCATTGTGGAAGTTGATGTAGTAGCCTGGTAGGAACAGTTGGCCTGATTTTCTTGTTTTTTTTTTTATGTGGAATTTATTAAGAAATTGCCCCCCACTTTTGGAGTAGTTGACCCGTGAAAATTGCTTTAGGAATTTCCTGGAATGGAAACTTCTTTGAAGTTTCTTCTTACCCAATGAACAAGAAATAGGCAGATGCGAATGAAAATTTCTCTTAGCAGCCTTTTCAATTTTAGGCTCCTAATGCACGTTATTATTTTTCTTGGTCCTTTTGCATGGTCGAAGTTTTCTTAAGATTATTACCTTTTGGGGACATAAGACATAGGAGTCTATTTCGAGAATACATTTTTTAACAATATTTTGCTTGTATTTTTTCTGTTTTTTGGGGGAACCGAGAGCGGGTTGGGCTGGTGTTGGGCCTGGCTACAGAAGCCCAGTTTGTTCTGAACGGTCGGGTCCAAATTTACACTGCTAGAATGGGGAAAGAAACTGCTCTCTCTTTTTTAGTTTTTCTAGCATATTGACTTTAGTGCTAGAAAAAAAAGCCTCCATTTACTCGTAGAAAAATGCACTTTCATTTCCACATTTTTTCTTCATAAGAGAGTCTTATTTCCACGAAAAAGAATAGAAAAAATGCATTCTAATTAAAGATTCAAACATTAAATCACAATCCGTAAAGAAATTAATAACGCGACTCCTGGGGTGGAGGAGGAGGGATAGGATAACCGGATCAACCATTGAAGTTAGGCCCTACATCATCGTAGTCCAACTCTATCATCTCTCTTCCCTTTTCCAACATTAAAAACAGAAAATATAATTTTTCATTTGAAAATAAGTGAATTCAAGAACTAACAAAAAAATATACACCAAAATAGATATAAACCTCAGAGAAATCAACTGCGTCCTCTTTGTGATCATTGATGTGGTCACAATTGAGGCCCCTCGAGCACGAGGACTCCCAGGGCTCGTTTTTTACAATCATGAGGCTAAAGTGCTCGAGCATCAATCAGTCCTCGAGATACCTCGAGGACGTCCGATGAGTGTGACATTTACGTTGGTTATCCTCAAGGGTGAGTCCTCGAGTTTTTTCCATGGCCTGAATCTAAAATGCTCAATCACGAATAGTCTGCACCCCTTAAAAACTCTACCCTATCCAGATACTTCAATTTGGAAGTTCTAGGTATGGAAGGAGTCTATCTTGAAAAATATTACAATTAATGTACGATCATATTTATAATTGCAGTCACACACTTATTTCAATTAGAATTCCTAAAAATAAAGATATCAAGTCCTGCTAGGAATGTATTATCTATCTCTATAAATATAAAATCTTGGATCATTACTCAGGTACGTTTTACATTCAATTTTCATCACAAAGCTTTTTCTCATTCTCTCTGACTTAACTATCCGAGGGGCGACGAGAGCACACCTCGACGCCTTTGTTTCAAGTATCGGAAGATCACATCCTTGCACATTCTCAGTCGTCAAGCTCGGAATTCAACGGGTGCGATTTTTCGGTAGCATCAATCATAATATCTCAGATCATTCGTGTGTTTCGTTCAGGTAGGAGACAATCTTGGATCTTGGTTTTAATTTATTTCAACATTATCACAAAACTATTGGATGTGTAAAAACTTTCTTTAATTACCGGAAAAATGGAACAGTCCGTCTAACTTCAAATTATATATTGAACAAAATGGCTCAATTCTTGAGTACGAGACATTTTTATGCTATCATAAATCTATCTCATGAATGAGTTATAGAAGAGAAAATCGACCCCACCAAAAAAACAAAAAGCATTATCATGTGATTTGGGGTCCCAACAACAGCTAATTTGGATTTGATGGTCCATCAGCTGAAACCGTCTTCGATGTTCCTTCAAGACTCAAATATGCGACAGAAATTGCTTAAGCGCCAGTCTGTAGAAACAATGCCATGTTTGGAGAAAAAAGTTAATTTAAAATGACTTTTAAGCTTTGAACATCACGAACATAAACAAGTAGACTAAGATTAAAAATCAGGTAAGTAGAAAGAAAGTCTTATTCCCCGAAAAACAAACAATGATGCAGAGAAAATTCGATACTACAACTTATTTTACTACATGTTGAATTAGTTGCACGAACTCACCCTGTTCTAGCTACCACTGCTACATATATGTACATGAATTAAAACTTTCAGACCTATCTTATCATATCAATAAGCATGAATTTGATTGTCCCCCCAAAGAGATACGGAAATTGGTCCCGAATGCATTTAGGGAAACCTGATTTTCATCCCAGTTGGTGCATGCTTTAAAGAATCGCTCATCCGGAGGTGCCAGCAGCAGACCAGATAACGGCTAACTTAAGTTTCCTTTATTTTAGACTATATATAGTCTCTTTGTATCTGCGTTTTCATTATTCAATTACATTATGCAGAATCAATAAAACCCTAGCCTCTTTTTCTCTCTGGATTGTTTAACAGAAACAATGCCATGTTTGGAGAAAAAAGTTACTTTAAAATGACTTTTAAGCTTTGAACATCACGAACTTATACAAGTAGACTAAGATTAAAAATCAGGTAAGTAGAAAGAAAGTCTTATTCCCCAAAAAACAAACAATGATGCAGACAAAATTCGATATTACAACTTATTTTACTATATGTTGAATTAGTTGCACGAACTCACCCTGTTCTAGCTACCACTGCTACATATATGTACATGAATTAAAACTTTCAAACCTATCTTATCATATCAATAAGCATAAATTTGATCGTCCCCCCAAAGAGATACGGAAATTGGTCCCGAATGCATTTAGGGAAACCTGATTTTCATCCCAGTTGGTGCATGCTTTAAAGAATCGCTCATCCGGAGGTGCCAGCAGCAGACCAGATAACGGCTAACAAGTCAAGCAAATAGAGTTCTTGCTCAGTTCTGTCAGCAAAAGGTAAGAAGTAAAATGCTCCTTGCTATCAGCTTATGAGTTCTCATGGAAATTTAATGACCTCGAAAATGCAGCTGGATTGGCTTGTAATACGGTGGAGGTTCCTGGGACTTGAGTCTTTTCATCGTCCTTCGATTGGCTTTTGAAGGTTTTGAAAAGACCGGGTCCACCAATAGAGTCGACAGTGTCATTCTTAATTCCCAATGTTGCCCATATGGAACTCTTTGCAGCATCTCCGGGGTCATCAATGCGTAAAGTTTTTGGGACCCATAGACATTTCTCGGAATTGCTCTCTTTTTGTGCCTCTTCTTCTTCGCCGCTGACTGGTTTCATCATGTTGTCATCCCTTGAATGCTTCCCCAGAGTCGGGGAGTTAGGACCAGAACTTGGAGGTGTGTGGTTCTGTGAAGCAGTTGGTGGGACGACCCAAGGAACATTCCACGTGCCAGGAACAGCACAACCCCAGTAAGGAGGTGTCGGATAGAATGGCATTGGAAAGCTGGCTGGGCTCCATTGAACTGAATTCCATGGGTAAGGCCACGGTCCTCCAGGAAAGCAAGGCACCTGAGGGGGAAAGCTATGACAGTATGGAATTAGTGATTCCGGTAATTGAGTTTTACCAATCTCCTCCTTCAAAGTTGCAACAGCGACTGAAGATCCACTGGACTGATCGTTCCCATTACCTTTACTTCCGCCAGAAATTCCAATTCCTACTTCTTCAGGCTTGTGGAACCCATTTCTAATTGTTCCCTCAGCAATGATCGAAACTGATGCCATTGACTCACAGAGAGGTGCATCTGATCGAAAGGAGAGGAGTCCATTCGGATGATCCACTGGGGCATTCTGAATTGCTTCTGAAACAGTAAGATGACGGAAGTGAGAAGCTGCATTCTTGTTCTTGCGTCGACCAGCACCGACCGGAACATTCCTCATGGTCCCACCAGCAGTCCAATATCTCTGACAATTTTTGCAGAAGTGCCTAGGTTGGTTCACATTGTAGTTGTTGAAATAACAGAATTTTGTGTCCATGCTATTACAGCGAGGGCAAGAAAGTATCTTGTCCGGTTTCTTCAGAGTCTTGTCTTGTGAATTATTCTTCTCGCTCTGGTCTTCTTCAGCCCTTGAGGTTTTTCCTGCTGCAGCATCGGTACCAGTAGAAGGTGGCTGTGAATTCTCACTTACTGGTCGAGTCACTTCAGAATCTTTTGGTTCCTCAGATATCAAGGGTCGAGCTTGATCCTCCTTTTTACTGTCATCTTGTTTTTGATCCGATATATCCTGAAATCATATAGATTCAGATAAGAAAACTAAACTCAGGTGTTTCAAATTAACATTTATTGAAGATCCTAGAACCATTTACGATGTGGTCAAATGTGCAAATTCCGTACAAAACAGTGAGGATAAGTATTAGCTTATTGTTCGTAGTGAAATAAGGCACGTGAAGGTGAAAAGAAAAACAGCATCTGTAATATCATGGGGTTTTGATAGTTAATGACAAAATAAAACAAACAGGCATCCCAATTTAAAAAGCAATGATCGTTAACGTGGATCAAATGGCTAATTCAAAAGCTTTGATAATTGGAAAATTGATTGAAAAGGATTCACATCCTAATGAACACCTTAAGATTCCTAAACATCTGTCATGAATCCTTTTTAGTGTTGTCATTCTTTCAGATAAAGTACAGTTTAACTAAAAGTAATGAAGAGCTAAATACTCCACCTTCCAGAGTTAAGTAAAATCAATATTCGAAGCAAAACCAAGAATTAATGGCACGACCACCTCTCATCTCAAAGCATTTATGCAGGTTCAGACTACACAAGAGGCTAAAATCAAAGGGATATAACTTCACAACTTAAAGAAGAGTCTAATTTACAATACCATAAATGAGAAAAGGCACTAAAATTTCACACGTGTGGATTCATAACAAACAATTAAAACACATAACCAAATCCAAATAATATTGATACGTTAAAAGTTCATAGTTCCTAGATTTGAATTATGTTGATAACATAAGACTATCCTCAGAAAACATTCTATATTGTCCAGAAACAACCTTAGTAATAAAAAAATCAAATGAAATGATCAAAAACCAGTTCATTATCAAGAACCCAAAGTCAACAAAATCTCAAAAGCAATCAAAATTCAAAACCAAGACCCAATAATTTTGACACCGTTTTTAATAGTGGGCTATCTTTAAATATAAAAAACAAGTGTCTTTTTAATCAATACCTTGTCCTTGTGTGATTCCTGCTCTTTTGTATCTTTAATCAAATTGCGATCTTCAAGCATAGAACTTGATGAAGAAGGGGGATCTTGAAGTGAACTATTCTCAACACCAGCATCACAAGATTGAGCAGAACCCACTCCATCAGTTTCCTCCGCCGCCGTGGAAGTCTCTGGCAGTTCAATTGTCTTCCCAAACAGCTTTATCTTGGGGTCTTTTGCTTCAGCCATTTTTCTCTCTCTTTATTATCCAATTCACAGCATAACTCAAAAACCCACAGGAAAACAAGCCCAATGAATTCTTGATTACAAGATCTGACACAAAAACACGAAAACACGCAGTAAGTGGGCAAGTTTGTGTATGTCTTTTAGGGTCAGGTCAGGGACTTTTGGGCTTGTGTTGAATGTATTGTCGTCGAAACAACGTGGGAAAGAGAAGAGGGTTGAGGTTAATTGCCCAGGTGGGGCAAGCCACGTCAGCTAGAAAAGTGAATTCTCAGCCACAAATTCTGTGTGGCCTTAAGATCTTGTATTTATTTTTCTTTTTCTTTTCTTGTTTTGATTATTCTGCAAAAGGTTGGCTGACTCTTAAATCTGAGTCAGCTCTTTTGTTTCCTTTTCTTTTTTAAATTCCACCAATTCCTCGGTCACCTTTTCAAAAAGTCGCCAAACTTTTAATTATTCTTTTCTTTATTTTCCTCTTGGGCGTTTTTTTTGTGGATGACAATCAAAGTTTGTTAAAGTAGGAAAAAAAGTGTTGCCCAACTTCAACAATACGTGGAGCGACGTCCGTGTTTATCTTAATCACGATTAGTATTTAATTAATCGGCCGAGTTTAAATTCATTTTGATAGACGTGTTATGATTTGATTAGTATGAATATTACCTAAGAGCGTCATCGTATGATTCTTGGAATTGGATTCATACTTGATTTCTTCAACTTGCATTCTCAAATGAGTTTGGGAATGATTCTCACTTTTGTATTTCATTGCTTTCATTTTGAACCACGCATGTATGATGTATTTTTTTGGATATGAATCGTGAAAGTTACTTTTTGTACGAAAAAGATGGTCACTCGAGCTCATGGCCGCAATGAATTCATATAGAATAAAGTGTGTCTCTCAAACTATGTCAAGAAGTATAAACATTGAAACTTAACGTCTCATTTCCTAACAATATTCCCTTTAAAATTAATCAAAAGTCAAGTTTTGTAAGTTTCACATCCCATCTCTACTAAATTCTTATTTAAGTAGCAAATTGTTTTGATGTGTGACATACTTCAATCTTTAGTAGTCGATCAAACTTGAGAATGTTTTGATGTGCAAGATTCGTTGAATTTAATTGCACACTTTTGATTTAATAAAATTTGACATCGACGTTTATTCTTTATAACCGTTACTTAAATTTTGCATAAATGAGTAGTTTATAAAACGCTTCCAAAGAATCCGTGCATTTATTGAAGACAAAAGTAGCTGCCTATTAGTATTTGATGGGCATTTAGGAATATGAAAATGAAGAAATCCGAGAGCCGGACAAATATAAAGGTCCGTTTGATTGCAAGAGTGAAATTTAAGTTTAAAGAAAATGAATTACAGAGAATTGAATTGCCTAAGTTGTTTTCCTGATAATTGTCAATTAATTGTATTTGATTGGTATAATTTTCCACCTAGAAAATGTTGAAATTTTGGATCATTTGGTATTCGTTTGACTTTATTTTCCAAGGAGATTGTCCATTAAAGGGAAAAAAATTTACAATTGTCCATAAAATTTATATTCATTGCCAAAAAAAAATTTAAAAAAAAAGCTGGAAACAATTTTCCCACCAAATTGGTGGGAAAACCAATTCAACCAAAAAAAAAAAAGGAAAAAGGGCCACGTGGAGGGTCGGAAGAAAATATTTTCCATGAAAAATTTTAACTATTAAATATGACAAAAATGGAAAATTAAATTTCAATTCCATTTTTCATGGAAAAAAAAGGGTCTGCCCTAATAGTCAAACAAATGAAATTGAAGCTTTTAGGAGTATTTGGTGAAATTTTTTAGGCCCTTTTAAAAAATGGTCATAAAACTAGTCATATACAGAGTTAATGACCTTTTTTAGTCCTTTTTATATGGGCAAAGCCATTTGTACACAACCCCACCGCCCCCCTCACAATGAGGGGGCCCGAGGTGAATAAAATAATGGGGCGGGCCCTCCCATTGTGTGTGGGGGGCGTGGAGCAGGTTACGCGGGCGTATAAACGCCCGTGTACGAATAGCATGATCCTTTTTATATACGAGTTTTGTCAGTGATCGCTAATGATATTATTATTTTAGTCCTTTTTTCAATCATTTAAACATTACCCTTTTTTTAGCCTTAATAAGTTAAGTTCTTCGAAAAAAAACAAAAAGATTCAGGAGACATCTGTTCTCCTTTATGGCAAGAATTTTTGTAAAAATAACTATATCTCAATTATTTGAACAAAATTAATATCGTCGATTATTATCGACGATATTCCATTAACGATTATCAACAAAGGATCACCAGCAACTTTTTCTAAAAAATATTAGTTTTTTTTTTTTTT